ACTGCGCAGTAAACCTGCGTTCACCACAACTGCCTGTGAAGCTTGTTCGGCACGTACAAAGCCCTTCTTCCTTAATCCGCTGTGACAGGTGGGCGCGTCGTAGTTCACAGGAAACTGAAACTATGTGGCTAGATCAATGCGGCTCTCAGTGGTATTTTTGGCTTTGTTCGATAGCTTTCAAACAATGGGAAGACTGATAGCAAATTGTCGAGAAAAAATGAACGTGTTGAGAATTTCGAAGTAATAACATTCTCTATCCCAGAATATGGCTTATTCAACACATTTTATATTCGTATAAGGAAAATATAGATTATGGTATGTTTTGCATATAAGCTAAATAAGCTTTTTGAGCTGACTTTGTCTTAAAATAGAGAAGCGTTTGTGCAATTTCTAGGTTTTTTTATTTAACTTTCTAGGGTAGCTTGTCTAGTATACACGAGACGCACGCAGTATACATTCTGTATGTTTGCGTCAAGTCTAGCTCCTTCAATTTTGTCTCTTTCATTTATTCCACATATCCATCTTTCCTTTGTGAAATCTTTCACTTATTTTTAAATATTAAAAAGTCACGAGAACTAGGCCGAACGGAACATGGATCTAACTTGTGGAGGCGGAAATATAACATTGGCAGTGTATTAGGACTCATACGTTATCTTTGTGGACAATACATTGCCTTTTCCTACCTCTTGTGCACGTTTGTAATCTTCTCGAATCTTTTTTTTACCAATATTCCAAAATGATTATCCTTGTCGCTTTATTTAAGAAGGAAATATCATTTGTGGGACTTCTCATAGGCATTATTTGCAGCTTGATACCGTCACTTAAATGTAATGTTATGGCTGCATTGAATTAACGACTGTTATGAAGCTAGTACAATCATGTGTCCTTTTGACCTTTTGTAGTCTAGGATTATCAGCTTCAGGGATACCGAGAGAGTTGATAACAAAATAAGTTTTTTTGCCTGTTCAACGTAATTATGCATATTAGCTTCTAAACCAACTATTATGTTAGACATGTGCATGTGATTTTAAGATGCAATGTGTTTGTTTTTTACTGTCGAGGCCATCAAACGTTTTTAGACATTATTTCTTTCAGCATAGTCTAAAAATGTTCCTTCACTCTATTGTTTTAGCTGAATTCGTAAGAAAGATAAAAAAAAAATGTCACTGAGAGATAAATAAAGTATCTTTTCTTTTTCGAAAAAGGTTGCTAAACGCCACCCAAATATCTGAGTTTGACCGCAAAAAAAATATTGAAAGAAAACGATAATAAACAAGCCGTAATTGACAGCGGTGTAAGAAGATTGTCAATGGAGTTTAGATGTAAGCGCCCAGGAAATTATAGAAATAGTTTAAAAGGCATTTTTAATATATCTGCATTTTTGACATAGATTTTCTCAACTGTTTCGGGAAAAAAAATGTCACTCCCTAGCTGCGTTGTGAAGCTCCAACGACTTTTTTTGACACTCTTTGCCTTTTGGATTTTTTGGCTGTCTTGAGGCCTTGTATCTTCCCGACTTTTGATCTGCTAAAAGCCAAACGTGTAATTCCTCGTATTTTTGAGGCATTAATGAGTTCACGCCTACCAACATCGCTTAACGCACAGTTACTATCAAAAAGTTATTTGTGGATTAAAGGTGAGGTGTCGTGAAGATGATGACCATGAAGGAGTGGTCTAGGTCCCGACTTAACATGTAAATGCATTGAATGCCAGTCATATTGAGCGCTCAAAATTCAATGGTGGTCCACTGGATCACTTCAGACAAAACTGTTCCAGTGTCACAGATGTTTGCGTTTATTCTGGTGTGCTTGTATCGTAAATAACTATGTATTAACCGCGACTCATATTTGGTTAGTAGAGCTATGGTGCCTCCAGTATCCTATTACAAGTACAGAGAGCAGGACTCATGGTGTTTTCAATAGCGCAATTACGCAGTCACAAGATCCAGTGTCGTGACCCGTCGCGTCTCACTAAGAGAAGACCACGATGATGCTTGTAATCGATAACCTATTTTACAATTCACCGTCACATGACTTAGGATATTGCTGCTTGCACTAGTACCTCGACGCGGCGAAGTCGTCATGTGACCTATGGTGCCTATCAACGATTAAGCGACGCAGATTTAACCTACGCAACTAAAGTGGTCTCTTGTATCTATAGGTCCATCTGGTGTCTGTATAATCTCGATCAGATCCTTTGCCATCATGGATCATCACATCTACTGTTGCCAAGTCGCGCCAAAGCCATTTTTACTTCAAGGGTCATCACTTTACAGCTGCGTAAATTAAAGACTCTTAGTCCTTATAAAGTTAAATCTATACTATGTAAATATGTTATAAAACTAATTAATAACATTGAAACTGATATAATTTAAGGTTTCAGCTACACGCAGATATTGCGAAGACTACAACGTATCTACATGTTATGGACCAAAGACACGGATGGGCTAGAAACTGGGCTGAAAATTATGGCGTTTTTCGTCCGGAAGCAACTTCGCCTGAAAAAAATTAGTTTCAAATAACTGCGTTAGAACAATGGTCTGTTTAAAGCGTGTTTACTTAATGGATTCTGCCTTATGTAGGTATCCTGTAAAGTGGCAACGTGTTTTATTGTTAGCCGAAGAGCGGAAACACATCAGTTGCGGTCACAGAACGTTAATACAACTGGCAGACACAATTAAAAGTATGAAATCAAAATAAAGATTTCCAAAGCAACGTGGGTATTTCTATGAGGAGCCACACAATCGTTGGCTGTGTGTTTCGCTTAATTCTATACACCATGCTTTCGCCCTGCCGTCCTTACTTTTTAATGAAAAACGTGCAAATGATTGCACTTGTCCTTGCATACATGGTATTCGCTTAATTGGCCAAATGCTAAATTAAAATAACTCTAGACTGAAAAAGCAAAGTATTTATCTTATTTTATGTATAGGCAAGTGACGATGATGATGATCTCCATTATAACATGACGCCATCAGCATGCTGCTGCAATAGCTGGTAAGTTATTGAATACCAATAACAAATACACGAAATGTCTAGTGGTGGGAGAACCAGTGCTGTAAGATTTCGGCTTTATCAAGGAAAACCTGTAATCGAATCGTTAAATAACTGATACCGTAAGCTAAGCACCGCAAAAGAACGAAGTAACTCAATAATGTAACAGAGTAACAAACGCACACAATTAAACTGCAATGGGATTCCGAAATAATCTCACTTGGGGTTACGTTGAGAAATAATCGCAGCGGGGTGTCAGACAATCGATGATACCGTCAACCTGCTACCGATGCCCAGCCCGTATTAGAGGTTTGACTAATTGCAAGGACGGAAGCGGCTTAGTATAGTTTGAACAACCATTCGTACCTTTTATGAACAATTCTAATGTGGCTCGTTTGTTCTAATATCAACAGGAATATCTAAGTTAATGATAAACCCTTCTTGTGAATGTAGGATTCCATATTTTGTCTACGACACAGATGTAGTTTTTGTAATTAGTAAGTACAGGTTTTATAACAATGCACACAACAACAGCGTCAATGCCCATGTTGATCTTTTGCTTGTTACAGGCGTTCAGTTGTTTCAGTGCTTACGAACAGGAACGAACGGAAAAAGCACGAAATTTAATTAATCTCTAGATTTTGAGTTAAGAATGCCGATCATTAAGAGTTTTGTTTTAGTTAAAAAATTATGTTTCCCATTGTGCGACGTGCTGTTTCCAAGATTCACTTTAATCATGAATACGCATACGACTGTTCTAATTTACTGGGTTTAAAAATCATCGGTAGATGTCTAGTACTTGTAACAATTGTCAGTAGCTGACAACCAATTGGGTAACGTTCCTCGCTCCCAGGAGCATACTATTGGATTACAACATTAAATTAACTGGACATGCTTCGGTTTTCGTATTTGTGGCCAGTCAGCTGTAGTTGGTATAGTTTCCTTCAACGACGTAATTGTCAATGCAGCATTGTCCTACCTACATATTTGCGGAACAGTATGCGTAAGAAGGCATATTTAACACCATGCGATTTTTAGGAGTTTGTCTAATTTTTAGCAAATAGAGAGCGTGATAGAGTATCCGATGTTTTCTCCTCTTTACGTGCACAGATATGTTTGAGTGAATGTTATCAACCAACAAATACATAAGCAATGTGACAGTCGATGTGTAAATCAAAGTTAATGTTTTAAATACCGTAAAACTGGTGTACCATTATAATGGATACCTTGAAAGTATTGGCTTGTTTAGATATTAAATAGATGCATCGGTTTAGCTGAGTCATTTATCATCAATCACTAATCACTGAGTGGGCTTGTTTGTACGATTATTGTGAATATCCAATTTTATATAAACTATGTAAAGCCCTTATAAAAAGTGTAACAAACCCTCTGAACCGGAGAGAGTACAAAATAACTTGTGCTCTTTCCCATTTATCAATGTAATTTAAAATGTCTACTCGTGTAGAGTAAATCATATAAAACAATAATAATTATTATATAAAGAAGTAAGAATTACATAATCATTTCTAATAACCTTTATTTCAGCTCGTCGGGCAATTATATTAAACAAATAAACATCGTTGTACAAACTACTCATGATATATTCAAATATGGTCTCCATCGTGCCGTAGGTATTATTGCCCACAGCAAAGGAATCCATTTAAGGTGCTAGTCCTTACGAGATAAAAATTTTAAATATGTTTAAAGTGAAAAGTTTAACTGGCTAATAAGCTCCGAAAGGCTGTTCCGTGGCTCTTCTGTAAAGTGATGTGTACGAAATAAGAAGTTATGGGCTACTTAAATATAGGCTTTTGATTTAAAACATACACATGCTGCCACGACAGACGTAATAGTTTTTGGTAGTAATAATTTTGCTACTCTACTATTTATGATTTCTTAGCCTACCGAAAGTACCGACGTGTTCCACCAGAAAATCATCAACTCTTTAGAACTAAATTGGGTGCTAAACATCTATCAAATCGCATGTTTGCTCAATCACGATTTCAGGAGATGTATTCCTGCCAGACAAAAACCGAAGAGACCGATTGCTTGAGGGAGCTAAAGTACTGAAAAATCAGCTTTGGTCCCGACGGCCTCCTGTCGAAAAGAAAGAATTAAAAGAAAAGGTCATGGAAATAATAGAGCATAACTTTGGTGATGAGCTGAAGAACTTAAGCAGAGAGGAAAGAAAAATGGCCATTCCTCAGGTTGGTAGTAAACTCCAACTAAATTTAATAACCGCAATAGTAAATCAACATAAGTATGGATTTAAATATTGTACAAGAACGACTGAGGTTGTTATGAAAGAAGCCATATTTTTAAATATTTTGAAAATTTGAGTAAACGGCTCCAATAGTAAAAGTATGAGAATAGCTAAGGCTACAGTCTCTAACTGAAAGGACGAAGTTATATATGTTATGTGTATAGCAGCTGTTTAGTTAGGACAAACTCGGTATACCAATGAATTAATTAAATACAGACTAATTCCTTTTTGTCCATGCAGAAGTTACCTGATGTTCATCGAAGATCGAAGAACAGCGCACGTAGTTGTAAAAGAATTAACTTGAAGTTTTTTTTGCTGTTTTATGTGTATTGTTTTTGTTATCTCTTATATTGGTGCGTTTGTAGGTTAAAGAAGTTATTATCAAGGATATGCGGCACCACATCTATCATTGGCGCCCAATAAATTATGATGCGTTCGGCAGTTACTGCTACCTGTTGGGGCGGACACCAATGGAGTACGCAGTCTTAAGAAAAGTGTTTAAAGAAATAAAAATTCTGGACCCGAAAATTGAACCTCGATCATGTTTTGACTTCGGATCGGGTCTCGGTTCTGTATGGTGGGCACTCAAAGAGCAGTTTCCGCATTCATTCAAGGAATACTTTTCTGTCGAGCCCTCAAAACATATGAGGGATTTTGCGCGTTATTTAGCACAGGGTGGACCATCTGGTAAACAGTTGCCGTTAAATGAGTATTCACAAAGGGCCAAGTTGGGAGCGGACTGTTCGCTTACATACGACATCGTTGTATCAGCGTTTTCACTTATGGAATTACCGAACGCACGTGAAAGACGAGAGGCTATTGAATTACTTTGGGCAAAAACAAAGCGCCATCTTGTCGTTATTGAGAATGGGACTTCAGCAGGCTACAAAATGGTGGTAGAGGCCCGAGCGCATGTGCTCGAACTAAGCAAGATATTCAGTGTAAATAATCCGCAAGGGGCGGTTTTTAAGGGTCACGTTCTTGCTCCGTGCACTCATAGCTTTCGGTGTAATCGGATGCATTGCGAGTTGGCACCCAAGCCCTGCTCATTTGAAGTACGCTACATGGACCTTCTAGATTCGAACCATAAATCGCACACGTCCCTATATTCATACGTTGTTATGACTAAAGTTAATCCGGAGGCCCTATTCGAGGGCCCACCATGCGCTCGGATCATCAGCCCAGTTCTACCTCGCACGAAATGTGTCATTTGTAGAATATGCACATCAAAGGGTGAAATAAAAGAACAAATATTCACAAAGAATAAGCACGGTGGACAAGTATATGAAACTGCGAGGTCGTCGAACTGGGGAGATTTATTTCTCTTTGAAAACGTTCCTTCCGCCAGTAGAGGATATAGTAATGCGTCAGCGACGCTCGCACAAATGACAAAATTGGAGGAGAAAAAAGAGCAGAAGATAACGACAGAGAAGAAGGAAGAAGCGGATCATAGTGACAATTATGACTTTGAAGAGACGCTAAAAGAGGCAAAGTAACGCGGTTAGACCCCATTCACTGTAGCCGCCCATCATTGAAAAGAAGGATGTTGGATAGGACTTGTAAGAATTGCGTGTTAATAGTGGATTTAATGTTTATATTATTGTATAGAAAAATCTACCTTTGCGATATTTGATGTTTACTCAAGCATACCCCTGTAGCGTGTAATTTATGATATTGGTGTTTAAAAGTTACCGAAAAAGAAAGAGGCAGATACCCTTGTTCGTTTTGACTGGTGCATTGAATATATCGAATTGAAAAATCGGCGTCTTTCAAAGGGAAAACATATTAATTATTGATACCTTTTTAAAATATAATTAATGTGTTTCTAGATACAGCTGGGTTCGAACGTTCCCATGCTATGTAGACTTCTGTACAGTGCATACAACTATAGATAATAAATATGTTTTATTACTGTGTACTATATAATCGAGCTATATTTAATTGCATGTCCGTATCGTAGGCTTGCTTTGTTATAAACGTAATGCCAACTCTGTCTCGCGCGCAAAAAAATTATCTGTGATCGATCGCAAAAGAAAGTAAATATATTCCACTAGCTGTCTTAAAACTAACCCGGAATAGCCATATTATTTATGGTAGAGACCAATTTGGACCTTTGAACGGCAACCATATACATTATGAACATCCAACAGGTGCCTCTTTTATATAGTGAAAATTTGATCAAATACTAAATACCTGTGTTCTTTCAGATCGGCTACTGAGAGAGCATCGGCTACTGATTGCTCTCGATAGTCAGCGGCTCTGTCATTCGTCTACCTGCGCACGTCTTCATCATCACATGCCTTCATTTCTGTCAATTTGCTCTTTGCGCAGTCTTTTTGGCACTTTTCTTTTTCTTGTTTTACACACACACACACACAGACACATACCCGCACACACAAATACATACAGGCAAAGACATACACACACAGAGACACAGACCGACACACACACACTGATACATCTTTGAGCAAACATCAGCAGAATGCTTCTGTTCATCAGATCTGTTTCTTTCTTGGTCGCACGTCTATTGTAAACCTACCTTTTCGTATTCGTGTTTTTCTGTCTTGAATAAATGTTCGCCTGTCACTACACTTGCGCCCTGCTACGCACTCTAAATTTTCTCATATATATTTTCATAGTAATATCATATATCTATTTCAGAACGGCCCTAAAACTGATCTTCCACTTCGAACAATGCCAAATTCTAAGATAGAACATTGTGTAGCATAGCCTACGACTAACTAAACTCTTGTTTTTGTACTCTTTCGTCTGTGCAACTTGTGTATATCCGATTATGGATGGCTGTAATACCACGTCGCTTATCAACGCATCCTGTCATCTCACTTGTGTCGCGTTCATGTGAAGCAGGACTCTTCCAATGTAAGCTGTGCAGTTATAAGACGCCTTATCAAGGAAATCTGAAACGACACAGTCGTATCCACACCGGCGACCGCCCATATCCCTGCGGCTATTGCTCGTATAGCGCCACACAACTCGAAAACCTCAAACGACACGTCGTGAAGCTTCATCGGGACGCTGTTTGCACAACAGCGAGCATTGAAAAAACAACGACAACCTTTTGAAGGGCAACAGTGATGGCAATAAGCGATAATGAGAAGATCAAACATCATTGGGGTGACATACATCCGGTGAAGATCTGCAACGCGAATCGATCTAGTCAGTTATACAAATCTAGCAATCAATCAATCAAGCAGACAATAACAACAACATAAAGACAAAGTCAAGCGGAGTCACCATTACAACATATTATTATTACATTAAAATAGATAGTAGGTATTGTGGAGAATCAACTGTTGTGAAAAATCTGCTCAGAACGCCGTCCGCGTTCCCCAAGCAGATGAGTTGTCGCCGCTTCATATGAAACGACGCCAGAGCATCGTCTTCAGCACCGTCACTGAGTCTTTCATTATAAGCGTCAGTGATATTCCATTGTTCCCACGTACTTGGATAATGTTTCCCATTTATGGAGGTGCCTACCGCAGTTTCGTATATTTCATTTTCGTATGTGCAAACGCACGACGGAAACAACAGCTCTTTCCCCACCAGAAAATCACACAATAGCCGACTATAATACTAACTATTTAATTTCTAGTCCAGAGTCAATCATTCCATTTCGGCTACCAGCTGTACCGTAAGCTCATACTGATCAGAGATATATGCCCTTGTAAATTCTGCAAGAGGCAAGCATGTCGATAAGAAAAAAATTTTATCATCACCAAGCAAAAAGGCGAAACGCCTAACAAATATAAGCGTGTTTTTTTCTATAGCAGACGTATCACTATAATTGTTATCATATAATAGAGGAGAAAGCATTACATTACTCAGTAACAGATACTTGACCAAAACATAACGTCTGAGTTCGCCTAATTAGCCTGAGCAGGTATACTAACATAATGCATCGAGAAGCATGCAGAAGTCTTTATTGATTTGTGTGCCCCAGCTCATCAGCTGGCTAGAAGCGGTTACATTTTCAAATCTAACCGTAATCAACGGCAGTATTTACTTTTCTCTTAGTCAATTATTCCAGCAGTATATCCAGTGTACACATTGTGAGGGCAGAGACCTCGTACGCTGTTTCATTATACGGAGCAATAGAGAATGGGTGTTCTTGCAAAAGTCTGAGAGTGACAGGCCTGCTGGCATGTATTGTGTGACGTTGATTATTTGCGCAGAATGAATCTAGGCGTTGCTGTTTTTAAAGGCAGTAAAGGCTGTAGCTCATATATAATGAATGTCAAAGATAATGTTGCATAATCATGTCTATATATACATACATACATATATATATATAACGATAAAGAGATATATAAAAGCATTCGAGGAATGACTAAAGACAAACACATTCCCGATTTAGAGGCGAGAGGCATTCCGTCCCGCGATTTTTTAGTCAATTCCGAACCAAAGATGATCGTTATTCCAGAAGATTTTGTGGTTGTTGCGTTTTGGGGCAGGATTACCTACCCAACAAGAGGATAGTAAACAATTGATGCGGCCGACAACTATTCTCCGCGTTAACTCTCTCACCTTATGCTTCTACGGTATAGCTATTGTGAGCCTTAATAAGCCAGGAACAGAAGTTCGTGCACAAAGTTCGATCAGGTTAGACCCGACACTCTTGCGCTCATCCTCACGCATAGAACAAAAACACATCACGTTTTGTGTAAATAGCAGCATTAAGCATTTATGGAAAATCGGGACAACAAATCGCGTAAAGGCCGCCATTTTCGCTAAATTTTTATAGCAAATTAAACTACAGCGCCATCTATAGGTGCACTCGGAACAGTGAACGAAGGTGTCCGGTAATCTATTGTTTCATGTTTGCCGATATACTGTCACCCGCTTTGTCTAAAGTATATATATATATATCTACATCTCGCCGGCGCTACAGGCATGCGTATGGAAAAGAGCCTAACTACTTTGTGTACGAGACACTGATGCCGTCACTTTTATGTGATGAACCCTGAAGAACACCTGAGGCCACTGAACCTCCTTTTTAACCCACCTTAATATTATACAAGAGTGAACTATTGGAACACACAGAATGGTCGCGCGACGACTCGATACGCAATAATGATAGTGTTAATTAAATGTCTATGCTAACTGTAATTTATTGACATTTTTTAGGTGACAAAAATTCTCAACGAGAACTTTGTCAGCGCTTTTTTTTTTTGGTGAACGACAAGACACGAATGCATCATTGTGTAATTGACATTCTACATAGTATCATTATTGCTAGTAAGACAGTAGCTATTGTCGTTAATAGTGCAAATATACATACTAGTCGATTTAGAATAATGATTACCGCATTCTGTCGTTGACTGTAACTTATTATGATGGTCAAGTTATATATATATATACACATTACTATAACTTATTATGATGGTCAAGTTATAGTTATGTATATATATATAGTCGTATATACATACGATTCGGTGCGAAGCTACTGCGAGAGATGTCGTTTGGCCGGCTGTTGTTTATGTGAGTTGTTGCGACTGCGTGTGGCGGCACAAATAGTAACAGTACTTACATTCACACCTATGTAAAACAGTCAATCAATAACAAACATGCTGTACTTAGTAATGTGGTCATGAAGCATTGATAGGTAGGAGCGAAGTGTTTTTCCTGTTACCAGTGATAATAGCGGGGCGACACGAGGTGCTGACGAAACGCTCGTTGATATCTTATTTTAAATGATTCGAAGATCATCCAGTAACGATAAAAATGATGTAGTCAATTAGTGTGCTGTGGAAGCAGAAGCCTGTATGAACGAGTTATTTTATAAGTCGATTCTGTGTGTTTGTTGCAAGGAAGGGACTTTGCGCAAGTGAGAACGGAGAGTGTATAAGATATCTTGATACAATGGCAATAACCAAGATCGATACATACACTAAGCAACGTCGGAGTGCTGACCTCTTTTATTATCAAATATTCTGTATTATGAGCATATTGCTTAGTTGTGTGGCCAAAGATTTTGCGTACGAGACGATCGTCTTTCGTTAATCTAAAATTTGAAGTCAACCGTTTACCAGGCTTTGAGTGGTGCTATAAAACCAAATAATTGTACGAGATGTCTATCACTAAGATGTGATATTGAAAATAGGATGACTTCAATATCTCTACGCAAGTTGGACAAAGCAGGTTATAAATACAAACATATTTCGAGTCGGTAACCATCCGGTTGTTTTCTTCCACCCGCACAGCTACTCTTTATATATA